AGACGGTGTCATCCAATATCAACTCTTCCAAAATCCCCATAGAATGTGAACTGCAGGAAAGTTTGGGAACATTCATAGTGACCCCCAAGTTTTTGAGGAGGAAAATACAGGTGGGGGTATCCCCGGAAGCCACAGGGCAGAGTGAGGCAAACTAGGCAGCTGGTACCATAAAGCTGTGGGAATGGGAACCAAGTGGCCGTCCAGTGACGCAGGGCGGGTGAACGGCCCAGCCAACCTGCCCATCCTCTAGACCCAGCCTCAGTGACAGCACAGCAGCAGACAAATGCACGGTATCAGCTCACAGCAAAGAAGGAGGAGACGGCATCAGTGATGGGGCCGCTGGGAATCAGATGCAGGGGATGAAGAAGAGGAGGATGGGGAGAAGTGCAACCCCCTGTTCTGGTGCTTGGGTGAAGCCATCCCACTGTGCAGGACACATGCAGATGGGGCCACCTTGAACGTGAGGAACCCAGGCAACTCAGAACTTGGCAGGGGCTGAAGAGGCTCACCCAGCTCAGAGAAAGGTGCTGAGAGCCAGGAGGCTGGACACACGGTCAGGACCCAGGCCGTCCTCTCCCTCCTGCAGTTGGGGTCACCCCAGGAGGAGGGTGAAGGATCCATCTCTAGAGAACCTTTGGTCCCAGCAAAACAGAGGACTGGCATCTGGGAGGCCCAGGTCTCTGCCCAGTCATCTTAGAACAGAATCAACTAGTCCACCAGCCAACCAAGCTGACAGATGCGAGTCAGCATTTGAACTGTTAATAAACAGTTGTTTCTGTTCCTTAGAAAAGTGTTCTTGCACCCGACTGGTGAGGCTCAGCAGGTGAGTGTCAGCCCAGGAACCAGAGGTCCCAGGTTTGATTCCCAATCAGGGCACATGCCCAGGTTGCTGGCCCAATCCCCAGTAGGGGGCGTGCAGGAGGCAGCTGATCAATGATGTCCCTCTCTCTCTCTCTCTCTCATTGGTGTTTCTATCTCTCTATCCCTCTCCCTTCCTCTCTCTAAGTATACTTGTTTATGGTGGTAATTTTTGGCATAAACCAGCCCAGTACTTAGTGATTTGCTCTTACATACGAAGAAAACTGTTGGGGCTGACCAGGAAAGCATTGAATTGGAAATTTAAAAAGCAAAATAAAAACAAATGAAAAAAAAGTCATTCAAACCTATTCAACTAGCAATGATGAGAAATAGAAGAAGTTCGAGCAAGTTTTTAGGGAGGTAGGAGAAGATACTGCATTTATGAAACAAGGATTACATACTGTTTTCTTCTCATATCAGATAATAACCAAGCAGATCATAACCAAGTGCCCTTGGACATTCAAAATATAACAAATTAGCCTGGGCAAGTGGTTCAATGGTTAGAACAGTGGCCCACCCGCCAAAGGGTGACTGGTTCAATCCCCGTGTGGGTTCCATGTGTGGGAGGCAACCAATCAATGTGTCTTTCTCCCACTGGTCTCTCTCTCTCTCTCTCTCTCTCTCTCTCTCTCTCTCTCTCTCTCTCTCTTCCCCCATCTTCCTTCCCTCTCCTTCCCTTCCACTATCTCCAGAAATCAATGGAAAATATATGCTTGGGTGAAGATTAAAAAAAAATTGTAATAGAACAACAAAAAACAACAACAAAAAAATGGGCCTTCCTGTTCTTTTAACACCCTGAAAAGAAAAAAACACTCGTGTGCACAGCTGGCCCACCACTGGATGGTCCATGGGCCATGCCGCTCCGCCTGCTTCCCCTGCCACCAGAGGCGCATGGACAGCTGTGCAGACAAGATCCAGATCTCAGCTGGGAGCAGCTCTCACAGGTGCACCTCACACCTGCTGCCCTGAACAGATGCTGAGATGGGAGGGGAGCACCGGCTGGTCTCCACAGGAGCCACAGCAGGTGTCTCAACAGCCTAGAAACTAGAGCCAGGCTCTCAAGTGCCCAAGGGAATGACTTGTGCCCAGGAGGGTGACCGCCCAGGGCTTCTGTCCCTGGCACTTGTGAATGGGACCTCCTTTGGAAATAGCCTTTGCAATGTAATCAGGGTTGAATGAGGGCATGAAGGAGAGGCCCTCATCCAATATGACTGGTGTCCTTGTGGGAAGAGGACAGAGATAGGAGGGCAGACCATGTGGCTATGGAGGCGGAGACTGGAATTAAGTGGTGCAGCCAGGAACACCAGGGATGGCCGCCCCCCCCCCAGGAGCTGGGAGGGAGCCTGGGATGCATTCTCTCCCTGAGCCTCAGAGAAGGAACCCCCTGCTGGCGGCTGATTTTTAGACACCTGGTCCCAGAACTCAGAGTAAATCCCCTTTGTTTAAAGACCCCCAAGTGTCTGGTAATTCCTTAGGCAGCCACAGGACACGAAGACCCATGCCACCTCGGTGCCTCTGCTCCCTGCCTCCAGTCCCTTGGCACCGGGAGCTCTGAGAGACAGGGCACAGCTATAGCTGCTCAGGGGCCTCTGCTGTCCCCTGGCCGAGTTAGTCCCTTTCTCGGGACCAGGACTGACACCCCTGTGCAGGGAGGGGAGCACCACGCCCCCAGGTCCCAGCAGTGACCCGGCGGGGCTGCTCCTACTTCCAGAGTCATTGCCCCGGACTCCAGGGACACGGCCCCAGGTTACAGTCCCTGGTGGGGAGCGAGGCCCCAGGTGACAGTCACTGGGGGGGAGCGAGGCTCCAGGTGACAGTCACTGGGGGGGAGCGAGGCCCCAGGTGACAGTCACTGGGGGGGAGCGAGGCTCCAGGTGACAGTCACTGGGGGGGAGCGAGGCCCCAGGTGACAGTCACTGGGGGGGAGCGTGCCCTGTGGCCTGCAGGACGGGCGTCTTGCCCAGAGAGTCACCTTCACAGCTTCAGCTGTGCTTCCCAGGTCCTGTCTTGAGGGTGTAGTTTTGATGCCTCCACTTGGGCCCCAGTGTGGAAACTGCACCCCACAGGCCTGAGCACCACTGTGGATGGGAGGCCACCAACCACCTGGGGCCCCAGTTGGGAGATGGCAAATGAGCAGCAGGTGGGCCTGGGCCTCCCGCCAGCAGCAAGCTCATGGTGAGGCGGTGCCTCTGACCATCACGTCCAGCCAGAAAGGAAAGCCCTGCCCTGGCCGGTTGGGCTCCTTGGTTATGGCGTCAGCCCCTCACTGAATGGTCTCGGGTTCAGTTCCCAGTCAAGGGCATGCACCTGGGCTGTTGTTCCCTCCCCGCCCCTGAGTTGAATTGTGTGCAGGAGGCAAGCAGTCCATGTGTCTCTCTCACATCAATGTTTCTGTCTCTCTCCCTCCCTCCCTGCTTTGCTCTGAAAGCAATGGGAAACATATCCTCAGTGAGGATTCAAACAAAACCTGGGCTGTAGGTTCATCCCAGACCATGCAGAACTGATCTCTCTCTCTCTCTCTCTCTCTCTCTCTCTCTCTCTCTCACCTTCCCTCACTCCCTTCCAATCTCGCTAGAAAACCAATGGAATAAATACCCTCTGCTGATGATTAACTAAAGAGAGAAAGCAAGGCCCATGCGGCTGCTGACAGGGCAGGGCCTCTGGCAGTGCGTTCCCCAGGGCTTGTCCCCTGGGCGCCCTCGGACCAGGCGCTCCAGCAGGTTTTCCGGCCCCTTCTCCTGGGGGCTCCGATGCCAGGGCAGGGCTCCCACCCGTCCAGCCATGGCTCCCACGGTCTGGACAACAGCCCTGGGGTGTCCTCTCCTCTCCTGCAGGAGCTTCTAGGCCAGATCCCAGAGCTCCTTCTCATAGTCACTTCCTCTCAGGGGCCCTGCAGGGCTGGGCTGCCTCTAACCCCTTACAGACTAGTGCTCAGGAGAGGAGGGGCAGGTCTTCTCAGGGAGAAGCCTTTGCATTATAAAGGGGCTCAGAAGGCAGAATAATGGCCCCCAAAGACATCCAGGTCCTAATCCCCAGGAACTGAGAACATGTCAGGTTACCTGGCAAAGGGGATAAGGGATGCAGATGGAATTAAATAATAACCGGTGACCTTGAGAGGGGGGTCATTCCGATTCTCCAGGTGGGCCACATGCATCACGGGCCCTCAGGAATGCCACAGGAAAGGCTGGGACACGTTCCAGAAGCTGGGAAAGGGCTGGACCTACAGGAGGAACCAGCCGACACCTGGATTCAGCCCATGAGAGCCACGGTCCCCTGATGGCAGGATGGTGAGATGATTCATGTGCCCGGGGTGAGCTGTGACAGCAGCCACAGGAGACTCATTCCGCATGGGTGCGCTGGCTCTCGGTAAGGGGGCGGGGGGAGGGGCACTCTGCAGGCTCAGGGGACCTGGGGACTCGAGTTTCCTGGGCAGCAACCGGATGTCACCTTTCCCCATGGCAGCACCCACTGTGTTCTTGCCGGGCCCTGGCCTTGGCCATCCATCACCCCAGGGAGCACCCCTGTCCCCGAGCTCGGCTACTGGTGCCGATCACTCTCTCTGCCCCCCGCCTCCCAGGCCCCTTCTGCTCTGTGTGTGGCCTTCAGTGACCAGCTCCTCACTGACAGCGTGTTGGCATCTTTCTCCAGGGCCTGCCCTGAGCTCAGCATCCCCCCAAAACCCCTGCTCTGTGCCCCCGTTGTCAGCGCTGCTTCCCATGGCCGGCCAGGCAGCAGCGTCCGGCTTCCAGGTCCCATCCCAGAGTGGCCTCCTCAGGTCCCACCTGGCTCCAGCCGCTGAGGGCTGGCCTCCCAGAAGCCACAGTCAGAGGCTCGGCAGCCTCTACACAGGAATCAGGGGTCAGGGACTCACCGTCTGGAACTGAGTTCTAGGGAGAAAGGAAACCTGGAACTTGGCGGGTGGCAGAGAGCAGCAGGGAGGAGAGGTGCCCACGGTGTCCCTTGTTGGGGGCAGGGAGGGCTGGACACTAACCAACAACAGGGCACGTGTGCGTTTTCCTGTGAGTGCCTTCTCCCAAGTCCTGACTGTCCCCCGGGCACCCGTGATGGAGCGGCCATCACCTCTATAGTGTCTCCCTCCTGGACCAATGACATGAAAGCAAAGGGCAGAGAGCAGGAGGGAGGTGGCAGCAAATGAGAGATGTCAATCAGTTCTGATGGGCAGAGGCAGATGGAGGAGGGGGAGGGGCACACAAATGCCTGCTGAAGGGGGCTTGTTCCCATAGAGGGCCCTTCACACCCACAGAGATGCTCAGGATGTAGAAGCCAACTGACCCAAAAGGAAACTGAGCAGGAAACGTACAAAGGACAATGTTCCCTGGAAACATTATGTTCAGTGAAATCAGCAGGCGCAGAGGCCACACAGTGTGCGCTTCTGTTTATGTGAACTTGGAACCGGACAACCAGTGGGTCCGGGCTGCCTGTCACTACCTGAGCCAATTCAGCAGAGACGGGCTTGAATCATGTAGGAGCGTTTATTCCAGTCCTGCCCGCAGGAGGGGAGAGCAGCAGGTCACCCACAGAAATCTGCTCTGCACCCCGCCATCAGCCACTGCTTATATCGGGTAGAAGGACAGATGACGGGGAAAGTAGGAAGGACAGGCATGGGAACGTGGGCACGGGGTAATCATTACAGGTTACAGGTCATGCAGGCTGGGGTTTAGGGGTCACAGAGGGTGGATGCCTCCGGGCACCCGGGACCGGATTACAGGTAATAGGGGCTGGGGGTTGTAGAGAGCAGGTGCCTCCGGGACTAGATGATCTCAGTTACCAGGTGGTAAGTCTCTCCATTAATGACAGACAGCTCTGCGGACAGGAGGACGGACTGCATTCCCGTGCAAGCTGCCATGGCCCAGGGCGCACACTCCCAGCCAGGTGAGAATGTGCTTTCTCTAATTAGAACAGAACCGTCATGAGTAACAGAGCATGAGTAACATTTCTTATAATTACAGTGAACAAAAGCAGTTTTCTTTGACAAACATTGGAACAAATACAATTGCTGAAATTTTCATGAGATTCACACAACCTTGAGATTAGATATTATAACCTCAGTTCTTAGAATTTACTGATCGCAGACACTCCTTACTCTCAATTCATTAACATTTAAGAGGACTTATTTTTCTTCTCAAGCAACCACACACATCTAAACTTTATAGAGAATTTTGTTCTTTTGGCTCATGACCAAGAACTTTAGTCCAGAAGGCAACGTGATCTTGAAAGTGTTAAAGAGAATAAAATGGGCAGAGAAAACTTACATGCTTAGCAGTTTTCTTGCAGAAAGTTTGCAGCCTTGAGCGTGGCATAGCCTAGATAAACACTAGACCTTTGGCGACAGGAGGAACCAAGGACCAGACCCTTACCTCAGCAGAACTGTTTGCATCCAGCAGAAGGTAACAAAACCCTGCCTCCCCCTCCAGTCACTGCTGAGTGCTCTTTAGGCCTCAGCCCACCTGCACCCTGGTCCCGGAAATAAAAGTTCTTTTGATACATGATGGCCTCATTATCATAGGTGAGTGACCCCGGCCCACTGGGAACCTTTCAGATCTTATTCATCTTAAATCAGGTGGGAGGGAAGAGGGGATCCTAACTAGTGCCAGTCTAGCACTTTCTCAGTTTTGGTGTCAAAAAATAGATTTCACTCGCCCAGGCTTGTAGTAGTCACTGGAAATGCTATCTTACTGATTCCTCTTCTCAGTGGCCATGGGCAGTGTCTAGAAGGCCTGTGGGATTTCAGCGCTGGGCCTGCGTTGATGGTGGGCAAAGCTGCCTCGCCGCACTCACACTAGTTCTTACATTGTGAGCAGATGATTGGGTGTTGCATGTAGAGCGCCGTGTTGTTCCTGGTGGTCTCCTCTCCTCCTCCCTGGTCCTCACACCTTTTGTGTATTTCTGATCACTATGTGCTGCCCGGAGTCACCTGCACTGTCTGGGCCTCCCTGTCCATCATCCCTCATTCAGGGGCAGGGCGGCCAGTGTTCCCTGGGTAAGCAGGACGTTTGCTGTGGCTCTAGGACAGCCACCCTTATCGAATTAGGAAGTCACCTTTGGCCCAAGTTTGCTAAGAGTTTTATCACAAACTATGGTTGAATTTATCAACAAAAAAAAAATGTACTTTCCATATCTATTGAGATTATCACATGGTTTTTATCATCTATTTCTGCACCGTTAATGTGGTAAATTGCACTAATTGGTGTTCAACCGCGGTGGTTGAGACCTTCCTGGGTTATTTGGTAATTATTTTCCACATTGGGAGTTGGTTTGATAATGTTTTACTTTGGATTTTTTCAGTCTAAGTTCATAATGGAAATTGTCCTGAAATTGTCCTTTATTCTATGGGCCTAGTTTTGTTCTCCAGAAAGTGTGCCTGGGAGCTGCCTCTCTTGCTGTCCCTGGAAGATCGCTGGGCCTTGAAGTCTTAGTGTAATTCTCCAGGAAGCCAGGCTGTGGGTAACTCCCCATGTTTTACTTTATATGTTAGTTCTGGGTGGATGTTCGCCTCCCAGTAGCAGGCCTTTCATGATTACAAATCTGGTCCCGATTCCCTTTCTCCTAAAGACAGTTCTCAGGAGTTATACTCGCCTAAAATGGTCCATTTCACCTGATGGCAAGTTTGTTTAATGTGGTTGTTCATACTAACCTCTTCCGAGTTTTAAAATCTCTGCCCTGCCCATGTGTCTGGTCACCTCTTTATTACTAATATTACTTATGCATCATGTTTCCTGCCTGATGGATCTTGCCACAGGTTTGCCTATTTCATTAGATTTAAGGAACTCACTTTTGGCTTTGCAACCCTGTAATTTCTTTGTTATCTAGTCCAGGTGCTTCTTTTATTTGTTTTAAGTTACCCCTGACTTTCTTCCGTTGGTTAGCCTATCTTTTATTCTATTCCTTATGCTCTCTTTCTGTTTCCTCTGACATAATTTTTCTCACTTCTTGACTTAAACAGGCCATTCTCTGTCCTATTTTTACTAAATCCAGAAAGGACTGGTCATTTCCCTCCAGGTACAAGTCACCAAGTCCCTGTGAATATTAGTAGCTGGGATTTTCACCACTGTGAATTGTATATACTTTTTAATTTTCATTCTGACATTTCTTTAGAATTATATTTTTTAAATTTCCAGACGTAGGAGGGCTTGTGCCCATTTTTGATATAAGTGTGAGAAAGCTTAAAATAACAATGTAGCCTGTTGTCTTCCAATACAAGGCATGTGAGAGAGGGACTTGGTACTGGTTAATGGAGGCTGCCCCTCCAGCCCTCTCCAAAGAGGAATACGGCCCAATCTCTCCTGTGTGGGTCCCATCCACTCTGGGCTGCTGTTGCTCCTCTGGAGCCCAGTCAGGTTGAGTACCTGCCATAGAGATGTTTGTGAACTGGCCCTTTAAAAGGGCGTCCGGTTGCCTGGCAGTCCCCTGTCTCACTCTGGCAAGTGCAGTCCCCACGGATGGTCACAGCCAGATGTTGTGTAGCTCCTCTTCCAGGCACTGGTGTTCCAGGCTGGGAGCTCAGGATGGTGTGGAGACCCCTCCCTTCTCAGAGGGGACCTTTGCAGCTGAGGTGTCCCTCCTAACTCTCAATGCAGCCCTTTCTGTGTCTCCACCCTCCCTGCCCGTCTCCATGTGGCTTCTTCCATGTGTCCTTAATGATGAGACCTCTTTTCAGCCAGTCTTCAGTTGGTTATTCAGGTTGAGGGTCTATAATTTAGTTGTGATTCCGATTTGGTCCTGGGAGGAGGTGAGTGTACCTTCCACCTACTCTGTCTCCATCTTGGATCCCTGTTTTCCATTCTTTGGGGCACAGACTAGGAGTGGAAGTTCTAGGCCATGTGCTGATTCTACATTTGGTTACTAGAGGGGGGATTTCCTGTTGAGCCTAAATGTGTGCAGAGCTGGGGTTTCATGATCAGATTCATGGACACTGAGGACACAGGTGTTTGCTCTGCCAGGCGGACAGGCCCTCCTGAGGCTCTGCCTGGGTCCTCCCCTCGCCCCGTGGGGGTGTGTGGACCTTGATTGTCCTCCTGAGGATGAGCCAGTCTGGGAGGGAGAGGCAGGGCCCTCAATCAGAATGAAACCCCAACCCATCAGCGCAGAAGTGTTTCCTTCCTTCTTTGATGCATTTCTCTGGGATGAGCCCTGATCCCTTCCTTTACAAGGAGAAGAATCCCGGGATAACTCTCTCCTCAGTGCCTCTCCTCGGGCATGTGGAGCCCAGACTGTGGCTGATGAAGTGCTGCGTCCTAGAACTGAATGGGTTTAGTGGATGCTGGGAGCTCATGAAGTGCTGCGTCCTAGAACTGAATGGGCGTAGTGGATGCTGGGAGCTCAGTCCCAGGCCAGGCGTAGCTGCTCTAGACGGAAGAGTCAGAGCCCAGAAGGACTGGAAACAGTACCTTGTTGTTGGGAAGGAGCAGAAGCCTGGACCAGCCCTGGTTCTCAGCCAGCCCCTCCCCACAGCTCCGCGGCTCTGGCCCTACCAGCTGCAGGAGGTGATGGTTCCCCTTGTGGGGAACGAGGTCTGTAACCAGCGCTACCAGAACTCTTCCACCAACACTGGCCAGATCATCAAGGATGACATGCTGTGCGCTGGGAGTGAGGGCCAGGACTCCTGCCAGGTGAGCCCCACCTGCCCCATCCTCTGTCCTCTGTCCCCTCCTGGCCCAGGGAATCAGGACTCAGAAGCTTCATGCAGTGGCCCATGTGGAGATGTTCACTGAGTCCTGCCTCTCCCCACAGGGTGACTCCGGGGGCCCCCTGGTGTGCAGCTGGGAAGGCACCTGGGTCCAGGTAGGGATCCTGAGCTGGGGATACAGCTGTGGTCATCACGTCTTCCCTGGGGTGTATGCCCGGGTGATGAGCTTCATTTCCTGGATCCGGAAGTATGTCCCTGTGCTCCCTGGATCCTAGATGAGGCCAGGCAGGGTTCCCATGATGGGGAGACCCTCAATCTTCCTTGCTGACACCCCTGTTCTTTCCCAATTCCAGCCTCATCCTCCCACCTCCTCACTCTTCATCTCACCCTCCACAGTGTCAAGAGCCTCCTGACCTCGGGGTCCCCCTCCTGTCCTGACTTTAAGGTGGCAGACACAGGAGATGCTCCACAGGCTGGTGTCTCTCACAGTAGGGGGGCCAGGACAAGGGGTCTGGGCCCATGGCCTCCTGCTCACCCTCTGATTCCCATTAAACATGGAAAAGCCAGCTCCAAGCTGTGGCTGAAATGGTGGCATGGACTCATCATGACAGTGACTGAGGGCGCAGTGGGGGCCTCCCTGAGAGTCCCCGGGTCCCAGGTCTCCGTGTTCGGGTGTGAGGAGGTTTCCAGGGCTCAGTTCCCTGTGACGGCATTTCTGGGAGCTCATGCGGGTTATGCTTGTCCCAGTGTCCCTCCCTCCACCCCTCCACTTCCTCTTCCTTCTTCCTCCCCTAACTCCTTCCCCTGCTTCTTATTTTCCTTTTCTGCTCTTCTATGTTCGTCTCTCTCTCTCTTATTTCTTACATGTTACTTCCCTCCTCTCCTCCTTCCCCCCTTTAATTATCCTTGATCACATGTGCCCAGCATGGACAAGGTCTCAGGGGCAAGGAGTTCACTGAGTGGATTCCTGGGCTCCTGGAACCCACAGGGAGGTGAGGACAGACATAACCACAGCACCGCAGTGAGTGTGGGACACGGTGTGGAGGTGAGTGCTGAACACAGAGCTGGGGGACACAGGGCGTGTCCAGCCTGGACCTGCCAGGGGCTGAGCTGCCAGGCCCAGCTCATGAAGCACGAACAACAGTGGGCATTAGGGGAAAGGGGCTCCAGGCAGAGGAACAGAGGTAGTGGGGACAGAGGAGGTGGGGACAGAGGAGGTGGGGACAGAGGTGGTGGGGACACAGGAGGTGGGGACAGAAGTGGTGGGGACTGAGGTGGTGGGAACAGAGGTGGTGGGGACAGAGGTGTTGGGGACAGAGGAGGTGGGGACAGAGGAGGTGGGGACAGAATTGGTGGGTACTGAGGTGGTGGGAACAGAGGTGGTGGCGACAGAGGTGCTGGGGACGGAGGTGGTGGGGACAGAGGAGGTGGGGAAAGAGGTGGTGGGGAAAGAGGAGGTGGGGACAGAGGTGCTGGGGACAGAGGTGCTGGGGAATGATGCGTGAGCTGGGAAGGGATTTGAGAGGTCGGAGGGCCATTCTCAGTGGGAGCTTGAATGTTGGCTTGTTTGGTTTTCGCCATCAGCATATCAGAAACAGAGAAATCTTTAAAAATTCCATACAATATGAAAGAGCATCTTGGTAGATGGTTTGAGAGCCTCCAACTTCAGAGGCTCATTAGACATTCAGAACCCCTTATTAGCAACTTAAAAAAAACTGTGTTGAAAAACTAAAACATCATGTTGGTACATAAATATCTGAGAATTTTCTAGAATCAAAGAAAAATTGTGAACCTTCAGTGGAAAGTGCCCTGTGAAAATTCAGCAGAATAAACACAAATAAATTCTACACCTAAATCCATTTTGGTAAAACTGCAAATTGTCATCATTAGAAGCCAACAGAGACAAGTGAGAGTTTAACCTAAAAAGAAATGACGTCAGACACAGGGGATTTCTAATCAGCAACAGGAGGTGGAAGGAGAACCTGGAGCAATTCCTTGGAAGTGGTGAGGAAACATCACCATCAACATAAAATTTTATTCCCAGATAAACTGTCACACAATATTGTGGAAAAAAAGAGTGATATTACAAAACAGAAGACACACAGAGTGTCTTATCACCTGCAGGCACTCATTAACAGAACTATTTAAGGATTTATTCCAGGAAGAAGAAATACTAATTCGGAGGAATCGTGTGGGACAAAGGAAACAAAGCATTAATGGGAAAACACACTGCATGCCATTCTCCAGACACCCCTGAGTGGCCATAAGCATTGACTGGCCTCCTTCATAATCAGAGGAAAACTGAGGGAAATAAAGGACATGCAGTGTCACACTCATCAGGTTGGAGAAAATGAAAAAGTGCGATAAAACCACATGTTTGCAAAGATGTTGAGAAATGAGCAACTCATATGTGGAATCTAAAACAGAACAAAACAAATGAAGAAAGAAAACAGAAACAGACCCATAGATACAGAGAAAAAGTGGGTGGTTTCCCAAGGGGAGGGGGTTGAAGGGTGGGAATAAAATTCATAAGGAAAAAACAAAGCTGTCATGATCTCTGTATTTATGACATGGTGTGTATCTGCAAATAAATTTAAAAAGAAGAGGGGAGCCCTGGGTGGCTTGGCTCAGTGGTTGAGGTGTCAGCCCCAGAGCGAAGAGGCCTGGGTTTGATTCCCAGTCAAGGGCATGTCCTTGGGTTGCAGGCTTGATCCCCAGCCCAGCATTGGGGTGCCTGCAGGAGGCAACCAATTGATATGCCTCTCACATTGATGCTTTTCTCTCTCCTCTCTCCCCTTCCCTTCCACTCTCTCCAAAAATCAATGGAAAAAAATACCCTCAGGTGAGGATTAAGAAAAAGATAAGAAGAGGGGATGCTGAGATGAAGTGCACGTGGGCATTCAGGCCAGCAGCTGTGTGTGGGAGGGAGGGGAGCAGTGCCCTGCCCTGCTGCTCTGAGCAGGAGTCCTTCTGACCTCAGGCCACCATTGGTGTCCCAGGGTGCGGGGTTTGAGTGATAGGAGTGGATGCACAGAGTGAGGGTGGGGCTGCGTGGGCATCAGGGTCAGGATCAAAGCCGGGGCTGTGATGAGGATGTCTGAGCCCTGATAGGGGAAGGCTGAGGGCAGGCGGGCAAAGGGCACAGCTTCTGTTACCTAACAGCCCCTTTTGCAACACTGCAGTGGAGGCTGGGCCAGCGAGGGCGGGGTGGGGGTGCTGTGGGGGCAGCAATGTGCCAGCGTCCACAGGTCCACACCTGTCACAATGGAGGTGTTGGACCCGGGGCAGGGATGGCTCCTGGAGGCCCTCATTCATGTCACTGGCTGTCCCATTCGGGCCCCACCCAACCACTGGACACCTGTGACCACACTGACAATGACACTGACCTCACTCACTCTGCCCGACGGCTCAGAGGGACACAGGCCACAGCGCAGCTTTGTGTCCACAGGACGGCCTTGCTCCTCACCGAGGGCAGCGCCTGTGACCGGCTTCCAGGCAGCACCCACTCCGCAGTGCCCGACCGGGGCTTTGACCAAGGCCCCCGAGTTCTGTGTGCTGCTCCCTGGAGCCTCTCCTGGTGGCTGTCCTCCCACAGCGAGGCCCTCTGTCCTAGACCCGGGGTGCCAGCCTGTGACACTCAGGCTGTCAGGGCTCCACCTCCACCATTCCCTCCTTCCCCCGCTTGCTCTCCACTCTGCAGGCTCCCTCCCCCTGGAGACCCAGGCCCCCTGGTCCCCACCGTGTTCTAATGGGTGGGCATCTTGACTGGCATCACCTGGGCTCCCTAGGCTGTGCCTGCTGGGCTCCTACTGCACAGGCCCCACAGCTGGAGGTGCAGCCGCCTCCCTGTGGGACATTCCCAGTGTCCTGGTTGGTAGTTGGATTGCTCTCCCCTGAGGTGATCAGTTTTGCCAGGAGCAGCGCCAGGTGCAGTGGCCTGGCTGCTCCCCTGGCTCCAGGGCAGGCCGGGGAAGAGGCTGGAAGCCCAGGGTCCTGCAGGCACACTGCCACCCAGCACTGAGTTTTCAGCCCCAGGCTGGTCTCCCTGCCCTGGAGCCTCCTAGACCTCCCTCCATGTGTGCCCATGCATCATCATCTGCATGTGTGTGGGCGTATGTGCATGTATGCGTGTGTGTGTGTGTGTGTGTGAGTGTGTGTGTGTGTGTGTGTGTGTGGTTGTTCAGTTGCATGGATTGGGAAGGTCATATTACTTGCAGTTATATGGTCACATATGACTTTGATAGACGTTGAACAGGAGCAGGTCACAGTTGAACACCATGCGACAAGGCCACTTGCCTATAAGTTCACTGTCTGAATTTAGGAGGGGCGTCCTGTGAACCATCTTTTGTTACTGATGATGGACATTTTATCTCTCTGCCTTTGTTTACATCCCCGGTAAATACTGAGCGTGAATTTCTGTTCTCAGAGGTCACTTACAGTTGCCTTGTATTGGAAGACAACAGGTACTTTGTTATTTTAAGCTTTCTCACACTTATATCAAAAATAGGCACAAGCTCTCCTACATCTGGAAATTTAAAAAATATACTTCCAAAGAAAAGTCAGAATGAAATTAAAAAGTATATACAACTCATAATGGTGAAATCCTCATATTCACGGGGACTTGGTGACTTGTATCTGGAGGGAAATGATCAGAAGTGAGAAAAATTATGTCAGAGGAAACTGAAAGAAAACATAAGGAATAGAATAAAAGACAGGCTAACCAACAGAAGAAAGTCAGGGGTAATTTAAAACAAATAAAAGAAGCACCTGGACTAGATAATAAAGAAATTACAGGGTTGCAAAACCAAAAGTGAGTTCCTTAAATCTAATGAAATAGGCAAACCTGTGGCAAGATCCATCAGGCAGGAAACATGATGCACAAGTAATATTAGTAATAAAGAGGTGACCAGACACATGGGCAGGGCAGAGATTTTTAATACTCAGAAGAGGTTCGTATGAACAACCACATTAAACAAACTTGCCATCAGGTGAAATGGACCATTTTTAGGCGAGTATAACTCCTGAGAACTGACTTTAGGAGAAAGGGAAGCGGGACCAGATTTATAATCATGAACGGCCTGCTTCTGGGAGGTGAACATCCACCCAGAACTTACATATAAAGTACAACACGGGGAGTTACCCACAGCATGGCTTC